TAATCCATTAATTAAGAGTATATATATATATATATGAGAAATATCTGCATTAATCTCAAGACAGATGGACGGCTCAGATAGAAGATATGACTGATCGGACGTAACTGGTAGACGACCGTCTAATTTGGACATTGGCGAAGGGAGCACTATGTTCGGACGATCGGTAGAGCATGCCTGGGGATCTCTTACAAGGCAATGATTGGACGTAACTCGTAGCCGACAGTCTGATTTGGACAATGGCTAAGGGAGCGCCTTGTTCGGGCGATCGATAGAACGTGTCAGGGTATCTCTCACAAGGTGGTGTTTGACCATCAGGGCTATCGGCAAGGAGTATCCCCTGGGATCAGGTGTCAGTGAAGCTAAGGCTTTGTAGGCTATCGGTAAACTTCCTTGTCGGTCGAACTAGTCTTTAAATTTATTATATTCAAATATCTCTATAAATTACCAAGAAATTTCTCTGACAATTCAATGATAATGAGATTAATGTGTACTTTTGTAATGCTGTGACATATATCTATAAATAGAAGTTCCATGTCATGAATAAGAATGTCACTCTCTTTTACTATTCCTTACTGTACTCTCTCTCTCTCTCTCTCTCCGATAGAATGCTCTATATCTTGAGCGTATTTCCCAAATATTTTTTAAATTCAACAATTATATTAATAAGTCGACATGAACATCTTGTAATTCATCGAAAGAGTGAAAGAGTGTCTTGTAGTTTTAAAGATGTATTTTTTATGATCGTTGGATTTTTCCCGATGAAGTTTCTCAATCTTGATTGGCACAAAGCAGATAATAATGACAAGTTTCAGACCGATTTTATTTGAAATAGACTCATAGCGGCTAAAATACATTTATTTTGCTTGAAACTTCTAAATTTGTGCTTAAATTATCTCCACGGTTTCATTTAGTGCGTATGAAGTTAGTGAACCGCATAACCCTTTATTGTTAAGTATATGCTGACCACGAATTAAAATAGTTCCTTTACTATTACCAATTAATACGTGAGTGATTTAATTTTAGGCTATGTTTGGCATAGTTGTGCTGCCCCGGGAAGCTGCTGCGAGGAAGTTTGCTGTCTGTTTGTTGCAGTTGTGTGAAAATAGTTGTATAGCAACTATTTCTGTAAAAATGATCATTCTGCCATTCTACAATAAAACTATTTAAAACATAATATAAAATATTTTTTATATCAACTAAATTATTTCTTAAGAAATAATTTACAGTAACTTATAATTAAATAATTTTAATAATTAAGAAAACTTATATTTTTATCGAATAATTAAAAACATAAAAATATATTTATAAATTTATTAATTGATCATTAAATAACAATGTATAAATTCGTTTAATTATGATTAATTTGAAAATAATGACTTAATCATTAATTATTAATAAATTAAGTTAACAAATTTTAAAACTTATTGTAAATAATCATACGTTGATTGATTGATTCATTGATGCTATAAATGTACGTATCAAATATTTGGTGTTAGATATGTAAAATTTTCATAATTACATCTAGGGGTGTAAACGAACCAAACACGAACGAACATAACTTGTGTTCGTGCTCGGTTCGTTTGAAATTTAGTTTGTTTGAAATAAGCTCGTGTTCGACATTATTCGTAAGTCACTATTCTTGTTCTTTTCTTAACGAACGAGCCGAACACGAGCTATTCGTGAACAACGAGCCAGTTTGGCATCCCTAATATTAATATATATAAACAATATATTATATTAATTATATAACTTATATTATATAAATATATAATATCTATATTAGTATATTACTGATACTACATTAATATATTATTATTATTTTAATATATATTATAATTTATAAATTTTAATTTTTTAAAATATCATAAGTTTTTTATATATAACTATTTAAAATTATTTTATATTTTGAACAATAACAATTCGAACACGAAAGAATGCATCACTGTTTGTGTTTGTTTCGTTTAATTAACCGAACGAAAAAAACTTGTTCACGTTCTTCTCATTTATTTATCGAACGAATCGAACACGAACTCATTGACAAACCATTGACGAACCGAACACGAAAACCGAACACGAACTGTTCACGAATAACGAGCTTTTTTGACGGCCCTATCTACATCCATAACACTCAAAACATTAAGCTCACAATTTCAACATCCCTTGAAAGACATATAAAACTGTTTGTGCTCTCATTATCTCCTCTGATCCTCTCTGCAGCTAATTCTTCACTATTCGTAAAGCCAAGTTTCAAAATTTACACAACAGCTGTTTTGATCATAGGATAAAGGAAAATTATTCCATACGGATCGGTCACCGGATGCAGCGTGCGTGCGGTGACCGATCCGGATCGTAGATCAGATCTGGGGTCTCGATGTATTTCGGTGGGTCCCACCGAATTTTTTTTTCTTTTTTTAAAAAAAAAATGAAAACAATCCTGACGGTCAGGATCGGACACCGCATGCAAAGATGCATGTGGTGTCCGCACGCAATAATTGCTCAGGATAAAGACTACGGTTACTGCTATCATTTTGCTTCCAAGTTCCAACCTACAAGTCTACAACTACTGATCCTATACATCAGCCTCACAACAAAAAATTGAGGGAAAAATATTCTTTTAAAGCCTCTGAAGAGTTGTTTCATATTTCTGTCTCCTTAAAGCTCTTGGTTAAACATATGGCAGTCTCCCTCGAGCGAAGCATTTCCAGGACCAAAAGGCTTCAAGAGTAGGGGTGTAAACGAACCGAACACGAACGAACAGAGCTCGTGTTCGTGTTCAGTTCGTTTGAAATTACGTGTGTTTGAAATAGACTCGTGTTTGAAATTATTCATGAGGTTACTATTCGTGTTTTGTTTGATTTGTTTGAAATGTTTAAATTGTTCCAATTATTTGAATTATTTGAATTGTTGAATTATTTGAATTGTTCGAATATTTGAATTGTTCGAAATTTTACAAATTTGTTTGTATTGTTCAAATTGTTTGAAATATTCGAAATCTTTCAAAAACTTAAACCTATATGAAATTAATGTTTAAAGATGTATGAATCACATCACAATGCAAAATAGCCGAAGCACAGCTCACAATAAAACCATAATATCATATCTCATCCATAAAAAATTCAAATCTAGAGACAATATGCGACATTTCATCCCAAAAATTATATTTCACTCAAGGAAACTAAATCAATTTAAAAGAAATATAAGAAAATTTAAGCTAAGAGACGAACATGAATATAAATACGAAATTATAAAATTTAATATAAGCTAAGAGGCCCCTTGAAGACCAGATTATAATTTATACGATTTAATTTTTTAAAATATAATAAATTTTTAGAGTGTATAATTAATTTTAAAATTTGATAATTATATATATATATATATATATAATTAGTTTAAATCATTTTATGTTTTGAACAATAACGATTCAAACACGATCAAACAAATAACTGTTCGTGTTTGGTTTGTTTATAAACCGAACGAAAAAAAAAATTGTTCGGGTTCGTCTCGTTTGCTTATCGAACGAATCAAACACCAACTTCTCAATAAGGAGGACATGAACTGTTCGCGAACAACGAGCTTTTTGACAGCCCTATTCAAGAGTATGCACAGCTCTTCAATCCTCTCCTGCTTCAGCTAAAAAACAAGGGAACAGGATTTAATAAGTCTAGGATTTAAGAGCAAAATGGATGAGAAAACTGTAATGGGTATTATAAGTTTCTTTTCTTTCAAGAAGTCGAACAAAAGAAACATTCTAACGAAAAAATATTACATCAGTACTACGCACGTAGAGGAACGTGCGTACCCAATGAAATCACGCCACGATATCCCGCGCGACGCTGAAAAAAAACGGCGCAGTAACACGGGGAATATTCCTCCCCGTGTTATTCATGTGTTATTGTGTGTTATTCATGTGTTATTCATGTGTTATTGTGTTATTATAACACCAGGAATATTCTCAGGATACAATAACACATGAATAACACACAATAACACAAGAATAACACGGGAGAGAATATTCCCCCGTGTTACTGCGCCGTTTTTTTCTCTGTCGGGAATATTTCCCGTGTTATTCAAGTGTTATTGTGTGTTATTCATGTGTTATTGTATCCTGAAAATATTCTTGGTGTTATAATAACACAATAACACATCAATAACACATCAATAACACATAAATAACACGGGGAAGAATATTCTCCGTGTTACTGCGCTGTTTTTCCGTGTTACTGCGCCGTTTTTTTTGCTCTACCGCGCGAGATGTCGTGACGTGTTTTGATTGGCTACGCACGTTATTTTTACGTGCGTAGTACTGATGTAATATTTCTTCCATTCTAACATGGTACAACATTCAATCTCACCACTGAAATTTCTTTAAAAGCAGCAAAAAAATAATAGCAAAACAGAATTGTGGCAACTTTCTGTTTGGCGCAGCTGAAGCCTTACTTGTGTATATAAGCAGAGCATGGAGGTCAGGTCTCAATCATCCTTCAGCATCAATATTTAAGAACATTAAACAGGAGTACGAGAAAAAGAAACCAAAACAGACCTTAGCTATGCCAAAATAAAACTAAAAGGATTGCTTGAAGACATGTATGGAAAAGTGAGCAAGGAATTGTAGAATCAGAAGCTCGGATTCATTTTAATATCTCAAGCAGCAAATCCAATAAACAATTCCCTACAACTGCATCATGGAATCAGAAGTTAACCTCAAATACAATTGGTGTTCCCAGATCAATTGGCAAGCATTTGCTTCGTTGGATGTAGGCCCTCTCTAGTCTGCGGTTCGAATCATATGTTGCTAATAAAGCATGTTGATAAAAAAAACCAAAGCAAGAGAAAAAGGGTATCATAGCCTCAACATAAATTAATGCAGGCATCTATATACATGAGCTCCAAAATGGATGCTTTCAGTTTCAATAAATACATCACCAATAATATACCACATATCCGTAGACCACATACCCACATGCATAAGGCAAGGTATTAACGAAATATAAAAAAGCAGGTGAAGTTTCAACAATGGGATTGATATTTACAACAAAAATAATACATGACATTACATCAAAATACAACTTAGAAGTTCATATATGCGTACAACAGATTGGAGATCAAATCTCCATTGTACATCCATTTTGCAGAGATTACACCCTTGTATCAAATCTGCTGGTAGTGGAGAATGTATTTAGGAGCTGTTCAATCTACCACCACTTGTTGCTCGCACATGCCGTTTTGCGGCCTTTTTGCAATCCTCCACTACCAGCAACCAACCTGCTGGTTTATATGAGTCCAGCACTAAAATAAAATTTCATAACTATGAAAAGCACAGCTTCAGCTTTATGTCAACCTCCATAAGAACATATAAACATTACATTAACTAAAACAAAAAAAGAGCAGATTGAACACAAATGTTATGATCCTAAGCATAATCGCAAAGCTTCAGCTTTATAGCAACTTCCACATAAAAACCTTCAGCTTTATAGTAACTTCCATATGAAGACTTAACTAGTTTAATGAAGCAGAGTATCTATTATAATAAATAAATATAAATAGCCTAAGTGAGATGTTTGAATTAAGATACAAAGAAAGAAAAATTAAAACAATCTAAAGATTATAAAGCCACACAAACCAAGATTAAATACAAAGAAAGAAAATAGATTTTTAATCAAATTTTTAATACAAATGACATAATTCAATCAAATTTTTAACCACTAAAGAAAAATAATTAGGAAGGGAAGAAATATCACAAGAAATAATTTAAAAAAAAAACTGTTTTATCATCCAAAGAAGCTACTTTTATGGTTTCCATAATAAATGTTTATTCAAATCCATAATAAACATAATTTATCATCCATACAAGCTACATTTATCCAATCATGCGTCTACTATCGCATCAGTTATATGTTCCCTCAATTCTGTCATTTCGTTTGCACATTCTCCGTCTACAGTACAGGTGGTGGAAGCCTCATTCTCATATTCTGTGAAAGACTGACCTAGAAGGTATTCAAATGCTTCTACAGACACATGTTCTTCATCCTCTTCCGCCAAATGGAAGTCGATATCGTTATGGGAATGATGTCTTCTAATGTAATAGTGGAGAGTCATTGTAGCAAACACAATTTGTACCTGCTTGGAAAAATTATAGGGAGGCATATCACGGAGTATCACCCTTTTTTTTTCCACATCAAAAGTCCACTCAATTACACCACGTAACGATGAATGTCGTTTATTAAACATTTCTTTTCTGCCTCGTGTAACATTATTTGCACGTGCAAAGCCTGGTATGTGATTTCTCGTGTCAGGAAATGACTTTAGATACCCTCGTTGCAATGGGTAACTAGCATCGACCAAATAGTATTTGTCTGATAAATTGAATAATTAATATGAAGATTCAAGTTGGGCATTCAATGAGCTAAATCCCGAGCGTACCTGCAGGAGGATGTGGAAATTTGGTACTGGGATCCCGCGTCGCAGATTTCAAAACTCGATTGTCATGTGTGCTGCCCTCCCAACCAGACTTAACAAAAGTGAAACACATGTTGAAGTCACAGACGACCATAACATTTTAGATGGAGCTACCACAACGGCCGATAAATGCAACCTTTTCATTATTTGGGATATGTGTGTCAACATGTGTTCCATCAATCGCGCCGATACAGTCTTGGTTGAGTTAATGTTAGGATCGACATATCATTGTATACTCTAAAAAAATTAACTATATTGCATCCGAGAGAATACCTTGAAGAAGAGCATATATCACGCATCATTTGATATCTCAGCGGGTGTCTGCTCGAACTTATAATCTGAGAGGCAGATGACATGAGAAGACAGACTAACAAGTGCGCTCAATTCGATTGAGAAGTATCTGCTTATTGTTTCGGATGAGTGCTGAAATCGCTTCATCGCTTCTCACATGGACTCATTTTGGGATAATATGAACAGTGTTATTGCGAGCACATCACGTGGAGTGGTCCTCGAAGATCCATGAAGACCGTGAACTCCTACGAATAATTCCAGAAGATCCATAAATAATGTCTTGCTCATTCGAAATATATTATAAAATCTTGTTAGGTGCCTCGCAAGCAACTCTCCAACCCATTTATCGTCAATATATGAAGATGTCATGCATGAAGACCGATCAATGTACGCGTTGTAGTACTCGTACATCAAGTATATTGTCGTCCGAAACATCCCTCTCTGCTTTCTTCTTCGTGAGTCCATGTTGGTCATTTTCTGTCTTCTTCTATTTGCAACTATGGTGATCGCCATCCCTATATGTAACCAGAGCGATAAGCGCATGAGAGTTTGACATAAAAAAGAGACTTTTGCATATAATTAGAAGGGTATATTAAAGTTCACAGTATAACTCTAGAAAGAAAAAAATAAATAATGCGGTAGAAATGTTCTAGTGATTAAAAATATAAAACATCTTATATGTTCAAGCAATCATAAAAATAATGTAGTATAAATGTTATAGTGATGAAAAATATAAAATATTTCAAATGTTCTAGCAATCATAAAAACGTCGAATATATTTCACTCTGCGGGCGGCAGACATCTTCATAAATATATCTCTACAGACCTGTTTCTTTATATTTCTGCTACGAACAGATATAAATCTTTATCTGTATAAATTTCGGCAGTAGCGCTTAGGATTTCAAGTGCTTCCTCGATAGTGCTTGAATGAGAAGCTTGACATTCTAACTTGAAACAAGAAACCGCCCGGATAGCTCATTTCTGAGGGAAGAAACACTAGATTTTCTTTTATCAACAATTTTTGGACGTTTGAAATGGGAAATAGTTTCATATTCGTTCTGATCCGGGTCGTGGACGTCAATGAAATCAACTGAACCTCCAGGGGTTCCCAAATTCACAACATTGCCAGCGAATCATGTCTCACTTGGGCTATATGCATAGTTCCCCGTTGCAACCACCCCCCCCCCCACATGCGGTCGAGTTTCTCCTCAAATTCAGGCTCTATTCAAAAAAACTTAAACTTCTTTACAGCAGGCACCACCTACATATAAATTGATAAACACCCAATTAAGAATAAACTATGGAGTTACAAAATAACAAAGTTTACAAATAATGCTCACCGCAAGTCTTTGTGCATCAACTGTTCGCTTCACTGAATCCCAACCCAGACCCGTAGATCCCCTTTTCAATTCTTTCCAATTTTTCAGTCATTCTTCAGTTGCTTCCATCTGTCGTACTCTCTGCCTGTATATTCCTTGAAATATCTGATAATATTTTGTTACATTTCTTTATTGAAATAGGTCGTAGGCTTATTTCCCCTTTCAATCTCTTTAAGGCAAATATCACAATATAATTTTCGTTTCTTTTTCTCACAATACGGGTGTAGTAACCCATTTAGGTTTATTATCCATATTATTACTATGTCAAAACAAAATCATGAAACACAACAGTAAAATTAATAAGAAAGTAGAAAACTGTGATACGCAAATCAACTAAAATAATCAATATGAGGCAAAATAAAACCCAATGCAATGACTATTTGAACTAAATCATGTTTAACAAATCAATCCCGTGAGAGTATGCAATAAAATATGAATCAATATTTTAGAGATTCTGAGAGGAATGTGCCCTCGATCTTAATATGGGAAATAAGTTATTCCAACCAAGTTTTTGTTCTAGGCTTATAATATTATCTTCTAATAAACAAATGCTTGGGTATTAAGGAGCTTCAAAATTTCATTTTTCTTCTAACTCCAATTTCAAAATTTCATTCATCTTTCTAATCAAATTTTCAATCATCCTTGTAAGCTTCCATTCTTTAAGGAATTCATTCAAGTTGTTACCAAACAGAAAGATTGTATATATAGCCCTTCAGTAGATATATATTACAGTTAAGAACTTTAACCGTATGTCTTGCAAACATGTATATGTATATATAGATATAGATATATATTACAGTTAAGAATTTGATAATAACTAAGGATTAATAAACAGACAGATTGCAAAAATAGTGATAACAAGAATTGAATAATATGCAAGAACAAAGATGTAAGATTAATCATAGAAGAGTGTTTAGAAAAATTAAAAATCAATCTTTATCTATTACAAATCAATAGCCCTTAATACTTATTTTGCCTGTACGAGCAGTCTAAAATAAAATCGAAAGCGAGCAATGAATACGCAAACAACGAAAAGCAATAGGAAGAGGACTCCTGGATACGAAGCCATGAAGTACAACAAGGAAACAAATTGGGAGGAGACGTACCGATTAGGAGCAGCGACCTTGATCAGGACTCGACGGTGGAAGATGAGCAGCGGCCTGGGAGAGGAGCAGAGGGAGGCTTCACTAGGAGCAGGAGCAGCGGCGTTGGGCTTCGCGATAAGCAAGGAGCAGTGGTTTCCCGAACAAGGTTAGAGTAGCTTTCGTGAAGGACTTTCGAGCGGGGCAAAGAAGGTATTAATGTTCAAGAACGTCGGGCCGCGGGTTCGATCCCGCGGCCCGCATTCATCCTATTTAGCGGCAAACGGCCGCTGCCGCTGAAGGAAAGCACAAAAAAAAAAAATGAAAACTTTGTAGTATGTGGCCGCGATGCTCGAAAAATGCGGCCCCAAGGAGCCTTAGGGTCCGTTTGGAGTCGTTTACGCGGCGAGGTCCCAAATCGTAACATTCGATCAATTGGATGCTGACTTCACGACCGAACACCGCTAAAATTGGCAGAAAGCAGGCCGCGGGATCGACCCCGCAACCCCGGGTTCGCTTCGCTAATATTAGCGTAGGCCCCGCGATCTTCTTATCTCGCGAACGCTTCCCGCCTGGTGTTGTGAAGCCTTCTCACGAAGCCACCCGCACCTTCTTCTTCCTCGACGAACCAGGTAACCTGCGCCTTCTTTCTCAACGAGCAACGTAACCCGCGCGTCTTCTTCTTCCGCTTGAAGCCCCTGCGTCTTGTTCCCGAAGCTCCCTACGCCTCCTCAAGGCCCAAGCTCGTCTTTCTTCTCTCCCACATTCTCTATTTATCTGATCGTCTGCATTGATCGAACAGGGATGCGACTTACGCTTGAGTTTGGGTAATAATTTTTGCGAACTTCTTTTTAATTTTTTATTTATTTTTGATATTTTCCAGAAAATTACTCGTCTATTCCTGATGCTATTCTTGCGTCTGAATTATTGCATTTATAATGTAGTGACGGCTTCGATCTTCTGTGACAATCCGTAAAAATCCATCAAGTTGATGTTACTCCTAAGGTTGAAAACGGGAAGGTAATCAAAGCTTGATTAAAGCTTGAACATTTTA